TTTCTTTACTTCTACGAATTATTACAAAACTTAATTACAACTTGAAATTCTAGACTTATGCACTTGAGTTCAGAAAACCGAATAAAAGGAATCATAAAAAAGAAAAGGATTTTTCTTTTTCTTATATTAATTTAAGGGTTTGCATCGTCTTATATTATTAATGTTTACATGTTATATATATAGGAGAATTCTTCATATATATACAAATGAAAGCAAAAGGATAAATTAAATAATCCCATTAAAGTTTTTTCAATTTTTATTTTATTAAACATTTTGGCATTTTAATTCGGAACTAAAATGTTATACAACAATTGATTAAAGATTTTTAATTAATTTTATAAAATATTTTATAATTTTTTAATAAAAATATAAAATTGATAAATTAGAAGATTTTATTAAATAATTTATATTTTTTTTCATTATAATTGTGTCACCAGATTTTTGTGATTCAGTTTTATCAAAAATATTAATTCCTGATTGAATTGAAAATCGTATTTAATAAGTTATTTATAATTAAGGTTAATAACTTGCCAAATTTATTTAACAGGATTCTATTTACTGATACATTATAGTCATTTCAACTTGAAATTTCGTAAATTTGAAAAATTTTTTCTCAATAGTTCAAAAATTCTTAGATATTATGGTCACTTACTTTATTAATTTCAACACCTACTCAAAAATACGATTTCCAAAATAATAGAATGAAAAATTCCTTCAGTGTATAACTGAAACAGTAATACCATTATTATGTAGTTTTCATCTGATAAACCAGAAAGACAGAAAGCACAGTTTTCCACATATAGATTTTACTGTAGTATTTAAGTGGAAAAATCCTGTTAATTTCACTGTTAATTTCAAAATTTTCTTAAATATTAAAATGTTTATAAATAATAATTAAAAATTTTAAAAGTACCATAATTTTTATGATTTTCTCATTGCAACAACACTATATATATATATTTTTTTTCTATTATTTTATTTTCATCCAATGTAATATTTCTATTTTTAGATTTTTAAAAAACACCGTGGAACTGAGAAGATACAAGATTCATATTTATATTTTATTTTCATCTATTGCTAAAAGAACATTTTTAATAAACACATTCAATTTTTACCTATAAATGAAAATAATTCACGCGATGCGTTTTTAAATAACATTACTATAGAAAAAAAAACAACCCACAGTTAAAAAAAAACTATTAAATTCCTTTTATTTTCAACAAAAAAACAAAAATTCTTAAGTGTGACTTTATATGCATATATTTTGTAATTTATTGTAATTTATGCAGTTTTTAAAATAAATTGTATAATTTTACTATACAATATTATTAATGGTTTTTTATTATACCGTTTAAAATAAAATTATAAAATTTATAATATACTAAGTATATATATAGTAAATAAGAATAATAGAATACGATATACAAACCTTAACTAGGTGAAAACAAAAACAAATGAATAGCACCATTTAACAATATCGTCGTTGCAATAACAACAACAAATTTAGTGTTTTATCGCCTTTTTGTTACCGGAAGGAAAAAAATTCTAATAAAAAAAATTCTTTTAAATAAATATATAACATTAATTTTTATATATATACATATATATATATATATATATATATATTATGGTATCGTAATTACTCAATTTCTTTATAGAAACAGAAATTATAAAAAATTTTATTGAAATTATTTCAAAATTTTTCATCGTTCCAGCTGAAATTTAATAGAAAAATATATGGAATAGAAATAAAATTTGTTTAACATTTTCTGAATTGAATTTCAGCAATTTATTTAATTTGTAATAATTAATTATTAAATTTAAAATTCTCAATTGAAATCAAAAATTTTATTAAAACGTTCTTAAAAAAATATCTGCCCAGCTTTATTATTAGAAAATATGGAAACAAAATTCAATGGCGATCAATAGTCTCTACCCTTAATCGTGCAAATCACAAAAGTATTCTAATTAAACTCAAATTTTTCAATTTATATAAGTGTTTTATTAATCGAAACGAAATGTTGCATGTGAGTAAAAAATTTTAACAAAATTAAGTACAAAAATCCAGAAAAAAAAGCAAGAAATAACATGAAAATTACATTAAGTGCATAAATTTTAAAATGGTGTTGTAATGAAAACATAAAAATGTTAAAGGACTTCCTAATTTAAAAAGTAAAAAAAATAAATAAAAAATTAATGTAATCCTTTTCTATTTACAACCACATTAATTATAAAGATTTTCCTGGCCCTTGTTTTTTTTTGTTATATTTAATGTAAATTGTAATTACCTAACTAAAGTATACTTTAACTTATACTTTGTATTTACATTTTAGTTACAATGAAAATTCTGCCCCATATATGTATGTAAATCCTTTAACATTTCATGATTTTTAAAGTGTGTGTAAAAAATTTTTAATGTTTCTTTTTTATTTCTATTGTTGTTGTTTTTTTTTTTTAAATTAGCGTTATCTTAATTACTATTTAATGTCATTATTATAATTGTCAATATTTGGACAATTTTTTATATTATAATTAAAAGGGTTACCATATGTTATAAAACGAATGAAGGTACCTAGTATAATTACGAATTTTATTATAAATTATATCCTAAAAATTTCTGTGCAATGGAATCATTTTGAATTCATTTGTAACAATTCAACGTATGTTGAAGTAGTTATTTCCTTAACCCACTAAAACCCACCGCCATACTAATATTAATCATAATTAATCAATAAAGCTAATATAGAAAGAAAAATAAAGACACCGAATACATTATGTTGATTTGAAATATCTAAACAAAGCACTAGACAATTCCCCAACAGAGATGGAATCCAATGGGCCCTGGATTGGCACCAGCAACGAATTCCACAGTCTTAAATGTGTGAAAAATTGACGACTCTAATATAGGTTCCTAGATAAAAAAAGGCATGCCATCCTTCTTGATCTAAAAAATCTTAAGTTTTTGTATAAGTAACTATAAGTAATAAAAAAACTAATGATCGAAAATCAAAATAAATCGAAATATCGCAATTGAGAAATTGTGGAATATTAGGCGAGACGCAAATTAGGGACATACCTATAATTATTCAATTAAATGCAACCGAAATTTTCCTAGTGTTCATAAAGCTCAATTGACCGAAACCATATTGGCAAGATATCGCTTATAGGCCATAGGCGAAGACGACAAGAAATCGCTTGTTGTCCACAATGAACGGAGTCTAGCATAAACTTTCGGTTAATACATTATACCCATATTTTTCGCTGATTTTTCGAAAAAATGACTGAATTAGTCATTGATTAGGCATTTATGTCTAAATTGGTATTCAAGCAGAAAATAGCGTCCTTAGCATGTAGTCAAACATGTGTAGCATGTAAGATATTGTATTCAAACAGAAAATAGCATGTAGTCTCGATAAATACAATTCGCCATCGTCAGCATATAGATGTGTACTGGAACGTGAAAAAATGTTTTATTGAAAAACATATAGAAAATAACAAAGGTATCAAAAATGAATCCTGTGAAACACCTTAGATCACCAATAATTAAATTCACAAGTACTACCAGCAACAACTACCTGCTGTCTATATTCCTCAAATAACCACTAATCAGCATCGTTAGATATCTAAATTAGTCAAATTGTCAAAATATACAAAATCACCATCACAGTTTTTAAGTTAATAATAGACTGCCGTCATATGGGAGCGTTCCTGCAGTGCGTCTAATTTGATATCTCCTAATGCGTGTGTAACAATTTAATTTTAAAACTATTTAATTTCTGGTTAATATAATATATTAAAATATTATAATTCAAAAAAAGTATACGTATATGAATTTCAACATTATTGGCAACACTTTAATAAATTTTAAATTTTACTCTAAAATGCATTAAAATTTTTTTTCTATTTATATAGTAATCATTATGTTTTACAAAATATAAAGTCTCTAATTATAGTATAATCGATCAAAAATGAAAAACAAATATTGTAAGTATATAATAATAAATATTTTATGTAATAAATAACAATACAAGTTATTTGAAATAAGATATTGTAATTTGCGATTATTCTATTCAATTGTGAACGCGCCAATAGAAGAGTACTAAATCAAAAAAAAAAAATAATTTAAAAAACATTTGTTCAAAATTATTTGTTACAAATATTTTAATATTTTGGGAATATAATTACATACATACAATTTAAAAGCAACACAGGAATTAATATAAATTGCAATACAATAGTTTTAATGCTTAAAATAATAAATTACGATAATAATGTTAATTATTAATATAAAATTTATCAGTACCATTATTATAGTACTCTCCTACGAAATTAAAATTACAAATCTTCTAAGAAATCCCTATCATCAGTTGCAAGAGATAATTGAACAGCAACAAATTATTAATTCTTATAATACTTTAATAATATTTTATTCGAAATTTAATAATTCAATTAAAATAAATGAAACATTTTTAAAGACAATTCTAACTGATACAATAACTTTAATACCAAAAATTTTTATTGAAAAAGAATCATATTTAAAAAATAATTATTCAATTATTTCAATTAAAAAATTATTTAATATCAATTTATTATCAATAATATTTCTTGATTCACTTAATAATTATAATAATAATGATAATAATAATAATTATAATTTATTACAAATTGCAAATCTTACACTTACTGGTTTACATTCATCAAATGTAATAATTATCTTATTAAAATCATCAAAAATTACAGAATCATCAAGAGAACAAGAAATTCAAATTAATGAAAATAATATTTTAAATAATATTGAAAATATTAAAGAATTTTTTGAATGGTGTTGGTTTGAAAGATTTATAAATATTGCAATTTATTATGAAAATTTTAATTCAAAAAATTCAATATTAACAACATCTTATATAATAAGTTATACACCATTTCCTAATATAAAAATACAATATTATCCAATAACTGATATGAAAAATTTAACAAATTATAATTTATTTACATATAAAATGAAAAATATACAAGGATATAAATTAAGATCACCGGTTAAACAGGATTCACCAAGATCTTTTACTTATATAAATAAAATGGGGCAGAAAATTACAGGTATTTGTATATTTCATTGTGTACTATAGAAAAATAAAATTACAGAGCTAATTATACGAGTGACTCAATTAAAACTGTACAGCAAATTGTAATACCAAGGATTAAAATAATATAATATTCAATAAAGAAAAAGATCAAATTTCGATATTTCTAGAATTGTATTTTAAGTACTCATTTGTAACAGATCTTAATGAATGTACTCTAATGTGCTGGAACACCTTTCCTTGCAACAATTCAATAGGTTTGGGCTTAAATTTATGTAATAAAGGTATATTATTTATATCTACAGGGAAAGTGGAAGTTGTATTTTTATTATCGTACAATATTGCATACATTCAGGCGCTTGAAGTAATATTATTTAATTTAAAAAGTCAAATTAAAACTATAATTTGTAATTGTATAATAAAAATGTAATTAGATTGCCAGTTAATTAAGACGAGGAATCAGAAGTAGTTCTAGATAAAATTCATTCCGGTTTTAAAATAAGTAAAATGAAACTTACAGTTTTTAATTAATAATCGACTGAAATTAAAATATTACTTAACTTATGTGGAGAGCGCAGTGTAAAGAAAGAAGAGAAAATTACCTATAATCTATTAATTTTATAGGATGAAGATTAATACAAATAAGATGTTCATTTAAGTACGCCAATAATTTTATTCATTTTTACAATTTAGAATATAATTTGGAGACAACTAATTGTTCAAAAACTTTCATTGGTAATTTAAAATAAAATCATAATCTTTCCCATATCATTATTAAATAAATTCTGTTTTTTTTTTCACTAATTTTCTAATACGATTATTTCAATTAAAAAAATTCGATCATATAAGTTGCAATTTTCCACCTTAATAATTTTTAAATCAAAATTGTTCACATTAATTTCTAATCTCGATTTTTCATTTAATTCTTTTTAATTGCTCCTTGAAGCATTATACAAAATATATAGAAACAAAAAACCGGAATCTAATATACGATTCCTAATTTCTAATTATTCTATACTACAAAAATGAGCTAAAACACATTATAACATGTGTACGCTAGCATAAGAACGGAAAAAGTACAAAATTTTGCAAATGAAATAAATTCATATAATAATTTCAACTATACATACACATACATTTACATATAAATTGTGGTCTTTATTATATAATCGTATTATTGTCCTTTTTTATCGGTAAAACTATTTGGTTGATGAAAATTAAAAAGTTCAAATTCATAAAAGAATAAGTTACTCAAATATATTATATATGAAAAAAAATAAATATCGGTTGAATGATGATTGCTTATACATGAAAAATTTGGCGTCAGAGGGAAAAATTACCATAAAATATATGTAGATATATATTTATACATGTACATTAAAATTAAAATACAAAACCAATGGGTCATTGAGAAATATGAAGGAGGAGTTGCCAAAAATTTAATTTATAAATTTTTAAACTGGAAAATAATTTTAGTTCAAATTATAATTTCATACGAGTATCTGCGATTAGTTGTTAAAATTTTGGAAATCAAGTAAAAATTGTAGAGAACTTTGAAATTTATTCTTTTCAAAAGCTGCTAAACTGTATCAGGTATGAAAATGACTGATACGAAATTAAACCTCAGTTAATTTAATAAGTTTCTTAGAGCCGCAAATTTTGCCAAAATTACAGATTCTAAAATGCTAAAAATTCAAATTTTCTGAACTTTGAAATCATGGAATTTCGAAATCCACTCATGTGTATTCATGAAAGTGGAAGCACTGTACTTAGACAAGAATCACCCTGCAACTTATTTAACACTTAATGTGATTATGATCACATTTAATTAATTTTTTTTTTTCGATTTTCGTTGAGAATGTTAAAAAGTGGGTGATATTCGGATGTCAAAATTTCAAAAAAGAATTAAAAATATAAAAAAAAGAACAAGTTCACAATGTGAAAATGCAATCTAGAAATACAATAGATTGGTTATTTTTAACCAGATTTTTTGGTTGTAAATATTAAAAGAATAAAGTCAAATTCCAAATAATTAACATACTATGTGATACATACATGTTTTTATTTTTCGCAAGGGAGATATTCTAAATGCATTATAAATTTCAAATGTTCAATATTATTTCATTAAATCAGATAGCAATTTTTGTAGGAAGGGCTTGTGTGAAACATCATGTTGTTTATTTAAGTAATTGTGGCAACACTATTCCAGAAATCATTTAATCATTATTATAATGTATATGTGTGTATGAAAACATCAATATCATTTTGTTTTTTTTTTTTTTTTGCGATAATGTCATCAAAAATGCATTCACTAAAATTTTAATGCATTGTTTTGTGCGGTTTTTATGGCCTCATTAAAAAGAGGCTAACTGGATTGTGGTTTGAAATGGTAGTTTTTTAAAACCATTTGCCTCTTTAATTTTAATCATTTGCTTTTTAATTTTAATAAAAATGTGTGTTTTTTTTTTGTTTTTGTTCCAGTAATTTGGCAAAATTAAAATAATTATAAATGTTTATAAAATAAAATTATGCACAAAAAAAAAAAAATTATATTATTAAAATTTACAGAAATGACGAAAAAAAAAGGATTTACTCTAATTTTTCCTTTGTTTAAATAACAAATAAAAAGTTTATAGCTAAGCTATATACAAGTGCAAGTGCATGGATGCATATGCACATTCATAATATGGTAATAATAGTTGATCCATTAAAATTTAACAAGAACAATGTTATAAAAGAAATTACACATATAAACAACCTACACCACATAATATACAATCTATACAATGTATGTGTATATACATACATAATGTGTATATGTTGTTATTTCATGTGTGATTTAACATAATAATATAAAAGGAAATATTTCATTTCATTTCATTTTAAAAAACGGAAGTTGTATTTATATTTTAACAGGAAAACAGGAAACAGTTTTCTACTAATAAAATATAGAATTCGTGCTGTTTTTATACCATTATTACTGTTATTATTTTTTATTTTTATTATTATTATTATAATATGTGCATGAAAAACACACAATAAATACACATATTTTCCTAATTTGTTGATTGTATAATGTTGACTTTGTTAATTATTTTACCATATAAAATGAATTCAAAATTTTTTCGTGTTATAACATAAATGTGAATATGTATAAAATTAAATATTTAAATTAACATATTATAGCACCCATCTGCTTAAAAGGAAATTCCAGCTCGAAGTTTCATTGCCAATTAAGGGTTTCTTCTGAAAATAATTGAAGTTAAAAAATTTAACAAAATAAAGTCGAAAATGTGAGACAAGAGCTTTAGAAAAACTGCCAAAGGTACGTTCCGACCTACTAAGGAGATTCTGCAAAATATTAGAGAAAACTATTTCAATGAGCGATAGAATCAAGTAAAAATTGTCAAAATACTGTAAAATAAAATCCATGACAGACATAAATGAAAATTAGGAAATCTGTCAGGTATTTCTGCAACGCTTTTATATTTACAAAATAATATATAGCTAAATTTTGAAATTCTCTAAATCTCTTCAACTTGGCAATGCTAAAATGATTATAACTGCTATAATTTGTCATTTTGTTTAACTTATTATTAACACGTCTCTCTATTTTCTAATTTTCAAAACTCGAAAAGAAAAATTTAAATTCCACATTTATCAGTTTTAATACTTGCACATTTTTCTGTTTCTATTCATTTAAATTCCACATACATTATAAAAGCATATGGTATTAAACTTGATATACATACTCACATGCGTTCCCACTTGGATACAATTGTATCCATTTGGATACATTTTTGCTTTAAAATTTAGCTTGGATACAAAGATACTCAAATCTGCTAAAATGTCGAAATTGGCTACATTTTAAAATTTTGCTGAAATATGGATACATTTCTTTCTCGAACACTAAATAAATGATAGAAAACTTTTAAATTGCTGTAACTTTTAAGTACATTATCTTCCAAAAAATGTTATTTGCTGACTAAATAAAATTCGCCCGTTTTCGTGCTGAATCGTTTTTACCGCATAGTTCAACAGCTACAGAACATATATTTTCTGACCTTAAATTTTAAAATGTAATAGAAATTGCGTGTGATTTCTAAAAGAATTTACTATAAATAACGAAACTCACATTGTTGAATAAAGCAAATTAATATTATTTATGAGTTTATTGGTATAAAATAAGGCGATTTAGTATAATAATTCTACTTTAGGAGGCTGGATACATTTTGGATACATTTTTTTCTCGAAATTGGATACATTTTGTTTTTATTGAGTGGGAACACTGATGTGAGGTAGTGCATTTAAAGGTACACGAAAAACTAATCAAATTTATTCTCCGACATGTCTTAAATTGCTACTCGTACTTACATTTTATTTAAAAAAGAATTTTAATATTAAAATTTAAATTTATTATTATAGTTAATGCTCTGACTTATGAGCGCTTATGATCCCATAAAAGTGGGTTGACTTCACAATACATAAAATATTCTTATCATTCTGACAATTTTAATAACGAATTGTGGGAACCAAATATATGAGTATTGTTCGTTTTAATCGGCAAACATTATGACCCACTTTCCACTTATGACTATAAACTTTTGAATATTTTAGCAAATTGCAGTGAAGGGTTAATTAAATCCTTTTTTTTTTTGTTATTCTTATTTACATTTATTTAATTATTATAAATTATGCAATTTGCAAAAGTCATGTTAACACACATAAAACAATGAATAAAAAAAAAGAAAAAGGAAAACACTCTAATAAAAAATAATAAACAATAATTTTGCCAAGAAAAAGTTTTTTCCGCCTTATGTTTGGTTTTGGGATCGTGTATGTTTATTTGCATGTTAAAGTTTAAGAACTTTTCTGATTTTTTTTTTGTTTCTATTTTAAATTTTGCGTGACTTGTACATAATTCTATTTAATAAAAATTCATTAAGGAAAAAAAGTGTTTACTTCCGGTTTTGCTTATATGAAATTTAAATTAAACGACATATTAGGTGTTAAATTAAATTTTAAAGTAACAATTTATAATAGGTAGGTTTTTTTTATCAACGGAATAAGAAAATTAATTTTACTAATTAAAATTTTTTATACAAAAAAAAAACGCTACCGAGTAGTGCGTTAATTGCACTTTAAAATTGCATGATTTATATTAAAACTTTAGTAAAATTTAATAAAGAAATTAAAATCTGTGGAGTTTTATATCCGGAAGCAATTCAAATTTTGTTGGTATTTCTGGTATTTATATAGTTGCTAATATTTTTCATATTAATTTATTTCATATTTTTAAAGTGCAATTACTCAAATTTCGTAATTTAATTTCAAAGTTAAATTGTATTATAAATTTATAATCTAAATTAAGATTTATTCCCGGTAAAATTGCTCCTTTCCCTTGATTTATGAAATTAACCAGTTGAATAAGCAATCATAAGGATTTAAATAAATGTGAAAGAAAAATGGATGAAGATTTAAAAAACCTATATGTACGGGTTAATTAGAACAAACTCAAGTTTAACATAACATAATGAAAATAAAATATTTGGCGATAGGCACAATACAAAAACCGAAAATAGAAATAAGTGACGAAAAAATTGAGAATGCAAATGAAATAAAATACTTGGTGGTAATGATAGATGAAAAGCTATAAAATTTAAAATGCATTGTAAATATATTTGTAAGAAAGTAGCTTTTTCAAGTAGAATAAAATCGAAAATCACCAAAAGCTGTGCAATAACTATATACAACACGCTTATACTAAATCATTTTAGCTACTGTTCCTCAATTTTATCTACAAGTAACGAAGTTGAAACGAACAGATTACAAGTATGTACTTCAAAATCGAGCTATGAGAGTCATTGTTAAGTGTTATATTAGAACTCGTATCAGAGATATGTTGAGGGATAGGGACGAGTTCAATTATAATTTCTTTTTGCGCATACAAAATTTAAAAAGTGTTAGTAATTCGGACACAATTATATCACAAAAAAAACGTCGTTTTTAAAAGTTTATAAGGGGCTATAAATTCAGCATGAATTTTGTACACAAATATTTTTACTTTGGAGATCGTTTTCTATATAGAAACACATGAGTGGATGAGAGGACAGCAAGAAATTCTTAACTAAATATATTTCTAATGTTGTTGAAAATGCGTGTTGAAAATTTGCAACACAATAGTTCTTTGAGAACTAATTTTAAATAATTTGTTTTATCAATTATTAAAGTACAAATAAAACTAAGAAAATATTTTGTTCTCTTATTTATTTTAGGTGGAATAACATCAAAAATATTTAAAACTTTTATTAAATACATTAATGCAACATTTGAAGAAATCAAATTAAAAAATTCATCAGAATATGTTAAAATTTCTGAAATTGTTGATTTAATTTATGATAATCAAGTTGAAATTAGTTATCATGCAACCAGTGGATCAATATTTACACATGTTACTTATTCATATCCATATGGTAAATCATTATGGTGTATTATGGTACCATATAGTGATGAAATACCACGTTCATTATATTTTTTATTACCATTTCAAATTGAAGTTTGGTTTATAATATTAATTTTATGGATTTATCAAACAATTATTGAAATTTTAACAAAATGGTTTATAAAATCTAAAATTGATTTTGGTCGTTCATTATTAAATAGTTTAACAAATATATTATTTATCGGTTCATTAGATTCTATTAAGAAAAATCCAAAAATATATGATTTTTATATAAAAAGTCTTGAAACTTTAACTGGTTTTATAATATCAAATTTTTATTTAGCATTTTTATCAAGTTTTCTATCAGTAACAATATTTTTACCACAAATAACAAATTGGGATTTATTAGAAAAATCAAAATTAAAAATACAAATTATTGATTATGAATTAGATCAATATTATTCAACAGAACCGGATATACCAAAATTTTTAAATAAAATGTTTATGAAAGTTGATCGGGATATATTTGCAAAAAATCGTAATGATTTAAATAAATCATATGCATATACAACAAGTACACAAGCTGCTAATTTTTTATTAGAACAACAAAAATTCTCTAAACGTCCATTATTTCGTAATCCAGATTTTTGTTTAAGTGATGATCTTTTAGCATTTCCAATTAAATCGGATACACCATTTTATGAACCATTTAAATTATTTACTATGAATATATTAGAATATGGTTTACAACAATATTGGGAATTACAAAGTTATAATGAAGCATTTGAAGCAAATATTTTAAAAGTGATTAAACAAGAAACCTTACATAGACAAAAATTACAATTTCAACATTTTACATCAGCATGGATTTGTTTAATGATAGGATATACAATAAGTGGAATATGTTTTATTTTGGAACGTTACCTATTAAGTCGTAAATGTAGAGGAAAATAAAATGCAGTATATAGGTATGTATAGTCATTATAATTTTGTGTTTATAATAATCTAATCAAATATAATATTATTAACTCTGTGTCTTTTATTGTAGTGTAAACGAAACAATATTATTATAGCAAATCACCAAATTTTAAGGATTCATCCTATAAGTAATAATTCTCATAATTTCAAAATTAACCTTGATAGCAGATAACAAATCAATATTGCACTATGCGATAAAATAAATGTTAAAAAAATTTTATATAACATTCGAATTCTAAATGTACATTAAATGATTAATGATCGAAATTTAATGATTCGATAGACCTACTTTAATTTACGGTAAAAAAAATATTTAACCAAATTCTTTATCCTACTCAAACAGTTGCTACTACGGTGATCTAATGGAAATTTACAAATTTTAAGCAATTCCTACTTTTGCCAGCATCACATTCTTTCAGCAATTAAAAAAAAATTTAAATTATTAAATTATATAACAAAAAATTTTTTTTTTATTTTATCAAATTTTTATGATGAAAAGCCGCATTATGTTATTTATGTTATAATAAAATTTAAATAATTATTAAAGGCTTAAACTTCTAATATAATCTATGCATATACAATAATCTGTATAAAAATATTATATACGAATATATATATATATGTAAATATTAAATTTTTAACTCAATAAAATTTTCATTTTACGCTCATTTTCGTAAACCATTTTTCAAAATAATTTTTTCAGCTTATGTTTACAATAATATAAACATTATGCTGTTTTTTTTTTCTATTTTTTTCATTCTTTTATTCATTCTTCTCTTTGTTTTGCTTAAAAGGATATAATTTTCGGGTTAAGTGCATTTTATGTATCCATTTCCTGTCAATTTCATCTGAATAAAAGCTATTTTTGCTAAAAATCCATTTAAAAGACATATAAAGATCATCACAAATAAAAAAAAAAAAAATTAAATTCTATTTTTTTTTCCTCATCGTATTTATCTAAATGTATGTACATATGTATAAAAATGTGCTTATATATACATGTATGTATTTATCAATTCGCTTGTCTGTATTCTATGGTATTCAATATAGAAAAGAACAAAAGTGGAATATTTAGGACGGGAAAAACAAGAATATTTACCCGCTTTGTATATCGTAAAATGTAGTATAATAATATAATATATGTTACATATATACAACGTAAGGAGTAAATGTTATATAACAAGTAAATAAATTTTTCCAAAACAATAAGAAATAATATTGTATGCAAAGGATCTTTAGTAGACATTGTATAGTAGTGTAAAAACGGAAAATTTGTTAAAATGTCCTTATTATTGTAAAATGAAGAATACAATATAGATTTGAGATGGCGGAACATTAAACAAGTTGAATATTTTCAGTATTTTTTTTTTTTTTTAAGAAATCGATGATTTTATAAAACAAAAAATTTATTAAATTTAATTAGAATGCAAAAATAAAAAATATTGCTCTTAAGTATAACAATGCAATGACAAAACGTTTTAAAACTTATATCGTAAAATCAATTTTTATATTCATCTATACTGTTTTTCGGTTCTAGCGCATAATGGGATCATTATAAATTTCAAGAGTTAATTAAAGAAAAGCATATAAATATTCCTAATTATCAATATCTAGTAGCTCTGCAATGACATCTATATTTACAAACATTTTCTTAATTTTTTCTATAATTTCATTCTATTTGGAAATGCATTAAAATGTAATATAATGATTTTAAAAGAAGACTCAATTTGCGTTGATTTCAAATTTCAATACTCTCCAAAGGTAGATACTTCTTACAACTTCTTCATAAATATCGTTAAAAACCTTAAAAATACCTAAATCTATCTCATTATTACCAAGTCTTTTTAATGCTCTGTATTAAGCTATATTTTATTAAATTACAAAGTTACTTAATTTACGAAACTCTTGTAAACATATAAATGAACAGATCAATTTAACAATTCCAATTAAAATACAATAATAAACACTGAAATTATCAAATTAAATGAAAACTGAAATATTTTATCCCTTCTCAAAAATTCTAATTTTACCCGTTTTAATTTTTAATATAAATAAACATTAAATTGGAAAATTCGACACCAAATATAAAATTATATTACATATATGATTACAGCCCAGTATTATTTAATATAATGAAAACGATATAGAGAAGAACAAACCATTAAAGAACCATCAAATAAAGGATGGCTTTTTAATGACTGGTTTCTAATTTAAGCGATTTAATATAAAATGTTATATTATTTATAGTATATGTATTGATAGTATAGGTATTATATAATATCATGTACTCAATTACGGAAAACAAAAAAAAAAAAAAAAAAAACTTATTGCATTGTGCGTTAAAACATTTTTGTTGATATTAATATGAAATCTAATATAATGTGTACGTTCATCTATATAAAGTCAATTAAATTTTATTTTTATTTATGTATACTCAGTACAATGGTATTAATTACAATCAACATATAGATTATTGTAACAAATATAGATGATAACGTACACATATGTATATTATGATATATGAAAATATGTGGCGATAGTATATTGTTCAAAATATGTTACCAGCAAAATAAATTATTTTAGTTAGAAGTATAAATCAAAATCTTTAAATAACAATGACTTTTAAGACACATAATTCAAATTTAATACCTCATATTCAGTGAAAATCAAACCGAAATAACGAACATGAAATTTTTAAGTTCAATATTTTTTCTGTATAATTTTAAAATTGTCGTTGTAAACTTTCCACTGACCAATAATAGCTCAATTTTTAATATTATTTAATTACGATTTCAGATGCTTTGAAATCCTTCCTTTAAATTCATGAACTTAGAATCAAATTTACTATCTTATCAGCTGTTTTTTTTTCAATTAATCCTTTTTCGAAAATGAATTCCAAAATTAGATCTGAAAATTCTTAAAAAACTATTTCACAAAATGCTTTATTGATACCATTTTCCAATGATTAAAATATGCAATAATTTTAAGTTCCCACTACTTTATCATATTTGTGAATATTTGAATTTGCAAAATATTCGGTAATAATAACATTTTATAAAAAAAAATACATTAATATCGAATAGAATGCAAAAGTTTTAATAAAGTTTTTGTATTCACGAAAATTAAAAATAATTTAGATTTAGTTTTTACAGCATTTGAAAAGCATAAAACTTTTGATGTTACTCTAAATTACCAAAGCTCTATAATATGATTGAATAAATCTGAATGAAATAAATCATAAAATACTTTTTTCAAAATTGTATTTACAAAAGTTGTTTATCAAAAATAATCAAAAACATGGTATTATGAAAATAATTAAGTTTTATAAAAACTCTGATTTGTAATAAAATAGATAACAACTGAAACGGTAGAAAAATTCTATTATTTTATATGTTTGTCTATTATTTTAATGAAATTGGTTTTTCAATAAAATCAGTGATTTTAAAATACTATCTGTTATAACAAATAGAAATTGTAGAAACTACAATAAATAGAAATTTCTTTTGTAAAATTCTGAATTTTAATTAGTCGGGATTAATTTAATTCGGCTTAATTGAGAATACAAATAAGCCTTTGTACAATATACATTAATAACAATTTCAAAATACACACCATTACCGAAAAATGATATGAAAAAGTGTATAAGAAAATAATTTTAATTTTAAAAAATATTATTCATTTATTTTCAATCAAAAAAAATATTTATATTATGTATACTCGAAGTAATTGCTAGAAAACTGAGATTACTCTAAATTGTAAAAATTTGAGAACTGATGTTCCAAATTTTTTTAATTGCCAATAAAATCTAATGTAAATATGTAATTAAAATTTTTAAATTAAATGTGAACATAACAACAATTTTTTTATTACTAAAGTTATAGAACAAAATATATGTATATTAATTATTTTCGCAACACCAAACATATGCATTATCAAACATTTTTTGCCAAGGACTTCTTTTCGGATTAAATCCGGGAGACTTGTAAGGCCATTGAAACATCAAAGTACATCTTTCTGGATGTGGCATTAAAGCTAAATGTCTACCATCTTTTGAACAAATTCCGGCTATACCTTCAGGACTTCCATTTGGATTCATAGGATATACTTCAGTTGAATCTCCATTGTCATCAACATAATTCATAACAATACATTGATTCGATTTCAAATCTTCTAAAACTTTTTGATTTTTAAAGGAGAATTTTCCTTCACCGTGTGCAACCCAACAACCTAAAACTGATTCTTCCATATTTTTCATCATAATTGAATTATTTTTTGTGATTTTCACTGTTGACCAACGACATTCGAATCTTCTTGAATTGTTATGCAACAGTGCTACATCTGGAACATCAACTATATTGCGTTCTTTAGCATTTTCATTTTCATTTCCAATCCAACCGATTAATCCCATAAGTTGACACCCATTACATATACCAAGTGAAAATGATTTTGGATTCTTTCTAAAATGTTCAAATTGTGGACAAATTATATCACTATACATTATATTGGCAGCCCATCCTTTTGCTGAACCTAAAGTATCTGCATAGCTAAACCCACCAGGGAAAATTATACCATGATATCGATCAAGATACGTTTTGCGAGTAAGTAAATCATGCATGCAAACATCATGTACTTCAAATTTCGAATTAATTAATGTAGCCATCATTTCTCTGTCACTATTAATACCTTCCTCACGCAAAACAGCGACTTTAATATTTTTACAATTTGAAAGCAAAGCTTCATCAATATTAGGATTAAAAGAGCAAAAATATGACGGGCCAACCCTATAATTTAAAGTATTATATTCTTCTATAGCACAATCTTTATCCATTTGAATTTTTTCAAGTTCGAAGCTTGTCCGTTCCCATTGCTTAAATATTGTTCGAAGATTTGTTTTTAGAATAGTTTTATGTTTTCCCAAAATATTTATTGGGGAATCTAATCCCCTTCCCGTTGATTGACCTATATGAATTGCGGGAATTTTATTATCTTCAAGTACTTTCGTAACTTCTTTGAAGTTGTCTTTAGAGATTTCCATAACCCAGCCACATTCTTCTGCAAGAAGTAATACTATTTCTGCATAACTTGATGGTAAACCTTCCAAATAGATATTTTTTAGATTTATTTTATCAATTACATTTGTCATATCGATTTTTAAACCACAAAGACCCCCAATAGCCATTTCGCAAAGACACACAAAAAGACCACCATCACTAATATCATGACCGGCTAAAATTTTCCCTTCTTTTAATAAATTTTGAGTAACATTAAATGCATTTTTTAAAACTGCTGTATTTTCTAAATCTGGGTAATACTGGCCTTGTTGGTTAAATGCTTGAGCAAATGCAGATCCCCCAATTCTAAATTTGCGTTCAATATGTACCCAAATAAGCTCACCATCAGCATTTGAAAATGAAGGTGCTTTAAGATCTGGTGTTACTTTAACGTAAATATTCGGACATGGTGCATATGTTGAAATTACTAATGTTCCAGGGGATTTGATAGTCCTGTCATCAATTCTTGCTGCCATGGATAGAGAATCTTTTCCGCCATCGACTGCTATATTTAAATCCCTCATTATAGAGCACATTTCAACACAAGCTTCGTACATTTTTGCACCTTCCCCAGGAAGTTTAGCAGCCCACATCCAATTTCCAGAACATTTAACATCTGAAAGTTCCGTGATGCCCGCGAATACTAAATTGGAAACTGCTTCTGCCACAGACATTCGAGCTCCTGACTTCGCTGATAGTAATCCTTTTATTGGCTGAGTTCCAATAGATGTTGCAATACCTTTATCAGTAAAATGTGAAACGGCTGTAATTGCATAGTCCGCAAGAGGTGTGTGAAAAGGACCTACACATTGTTGCTGAGCTATCAAACCGGTAACACACCTGTCAACTTTATTTGTTAAAAATCTTTTACTTCCTACTGCCATAACACTTAAAACTCTTTCAAATATCTCATTGTATTTAATAGTTTCGTCTAAATAGAAGGGGGTAAGTTTTATAATTTCTTTCGTAAGTTTATATTCTCGCTTAGGCATGTCGCCTAAAACGTGTTTTAGTTCCAAATCGAACGGAAGATTTCCAAGCTCTGAACGAAATTTTCGATCTAAAAATTTTTCATTTTCAAAATCGGCTTTCTGTTCTACTAAGGTTACATGACCATTTCCATTAACTATTCCGACAAAGCTAATGGGACAGCGCTCTCGATCACAAATTTCTTGCAAAAGTTTCCTATCTTCTTTGTTACACAAAATTGCGTTATTTTCTTGATATTCAGCACCCCAAAGTTCTAACGCCGTAATGGTAGGATCACCTAATTGAAATTCTTTAGAAAATATTGTTGCTCCTGCAAATCCGGGCTCAACTAATTCTTTTAATACATTTCCGTTCCCTCCTGCTCCTTGATCATGTATTGCTAGAATTGGATTACGATTTCCCATTTCTATGCAAGCCCTTACAACTCGATTAACTTTATTTTCCATTTCAGGATCTCCTCTTTGTACAGCATTAAAATCTAGTTCAGAACTATTATCTCCTTGAACTTCAACAGAGCTCGCAGCGCCCCCTCCAACGCCAATTCGATATACGGGACCACCAATTTTTGCCAGAAGCATTCCTAAAACATAATAAACCATCAAAACTAGTTATTATACTAAAATTACCTTATTCTATTTTCAGTCACCTTTACTAGGATCTATTTTTTTCCTCATTGTTGAATTCATTGTACCTAAACCCCCACTGAACATAATTGGTTTAACGTACTCATCTCGATCACCCATGCAATTTAAAACTCCGTAAGATATCGCGAAACCCGATATTACAGGTTCCCCAAATTTGTTACCGTAATCTGAAGCACCATTACTCGCTTCAATAATAATTTTTAAAGGTTTCGCAAAAGATGGTGGATAACTAAAGTTTTTATTCTCATATGGCAAATTATATCCTGAAAATACAAACAAAAATTACAATAATAAGTATACAGTGTTTCTTTGTAATTTTTGTTACCTGGAATGTTAAGAAGTCCAACACAGTATCCTGCAGTTCCTGCAATGCAAAGCCCACCTCTTCCAATTCCTTCAACATCTCTAATACGACCACCAGTTCCGGTGGTTGCACCACTAAACGGTGAAACGGCTGTTGGCATATTATGAGTTTCAGCTGTAAAAATCAAATCTGAATCAACTTCCGATAATTCCATAGGACCTGGATCTATAACACTAGTTGTTTTTAACGTTTTATGCCGAAATCCTTTAATAGCACTGCTATTATCACTAAATTTTATTGTATTATTCGGATTAGTTGTATTTTGTGTATCAATAATCATTTTTATCAAAGAACTCGGCTGAACCTCGTTATCAATAATCATTTTGCCACGGAAAAACCAATGTCTTGAATGTTCACTATTAGATTGTGCACAATCAAATAATTCTACAGAAGTTGGATCCCTTTTCAAAACATTTTTAAATAAATTTGTATAAAACTCGAGATCCCATTCCCCAAATGCTAAACCTAAAATAAAATGTTCGGATAAATATTAACTATTTTTCATATTCAATATTTTATAATTTTTTTTTACCTAATTTGGCATTTATTTCTTCAAGAGCTTTTCTTCCATTTTTCAAAACAGGAATTGTATACCATGATTCATGAATCTTCGGTAGACATTCATCAAAACTTTCTTTTGGCATATTTTGCTCTGTATATAGACATTCAGTCATACGATCACTTAAATGATCAATTAGTTTTTCGACAGATTCTAATTTTACAGCAGATTGGAAGATTATTAGATATCTTATCGATTTTTCTAATCTTCTAATTTCGTGAAGACCGATATTTTCACAAATATTTACACAATTAGTTGAGAATGGTGTTGAAAAGTTGAACCGAGGACCAATTTCAATTAACAATTCATTATTATTTACTTTAGAGAAATTACTAGTAGTTTTTAATTTATCCTCTTCCTGAACCGACTTTAAAAGCCATCGAAGAATAGTTTCAGTTTTTCTTTCCAATTTTCCATTTTTACTAACTTCAATATGATAGCATACTTCGACTTTTAAATCTTTAATTGTTGCCTCTACATGTTGTATATCTTTAAGAAGCTCATTAATTTTTTTGCAATCATAAGGTTCCGCAAGAAAAAATCTTTGTATTCCCATTTTTTTGCTTTAAAATTCAATTAAATTTAAAAATTAAATTTAATTCTGTTCAGTTGAAATACTTCTTTAAGACTGTTTGATGCGTTTTGCGGTCTGCAATGAAAAAAACAATATAAAATCATAAACAAACAATATTTGCTATAAAATGCTAAAGTGAATTCAATTTCAAATAAATAATGTAAAAAAAAAGACCTTTGGGTTATCATTAATATTGAAACTGAGACAATTACATTGATCTTATTTATTGAAAAGCATATCTTACGTCACCCAATTACGAATATGATTGAAAATATAATAATAATAACAAACAAGATTAAATTTTTAATTCGTTGCAATAAATATTTACGAATTTTTTTTTTTGTAAATCTCACTTATTTGTCTCTAAGGGGTAATCTGATATCAACATAGCTTCATATATTTTATAAAATAATTTGCATAAACAAACATAATGTGGGATAGAAAGTAAAAAATATGAAACACACGCTTTCATAAGTAGATGCAAGCCAATCAATGTACATATTATGTTGTAAATAGGTAAGTAGGTGTCTCACATGATTTAAAGCAAAGTGTAAAGCACCGAATAGTACATAAAGGTATTCTTAACATTTCCAATACTCATTTGCTTTTTTTCAAGTAGTCCAAATTTTCGTTTTTATTACTATAATACAATTTCTTATATATAAATTCTCAAAGAGACAACAACTATATTGTTAGAAACATTTTATCTTTGCATCTACAAAATATGTGTGTATGCATATCTTATGCATTTGTAACACTTGTTGCTTTATTTTTTACAAATTGTTAGACCCAGTTTTTGTTAATAAATTTATTTAAGAAGTAATCAATGAAATTCAAATTCACACAAAAGTTTCAAATGAACATTTACATGCTTACTTTCACATAAATTTATTTTTTATTTTTGCTTCCCACCACAGTATTAACAATAAAATTCTAGATTTACAAAAAACAAAAATGAATCTCACTGGATCTCACAAATTTTTGAATATACAAACTAAATGTACTTTGAATGGAAAATTTATTATGTCTTTATAACACAAAATCAAATAATAAACTGAACACTTACGACAATAAAAATAAAATTAATAAAGCTAAGCTTATCAAATTTTACATTGCAAATCAACTGCCATGTATTCCTATGTAAATTGTTTTATAAATAAATTATCTGTCAGCATACCACGTGCATATACACAATTTACGTTGACAGTCTGAAATCAGAAAGTAAGTAACAAAATGTCAATGTCATATGATTATAATACTGTCAGCCATTAAACTAAAGCTCGGCTTAAAATACAACTATTTTTCATTCCGTTAACAAAGCGTAGTTTATTATGCATTAAAATATGTATGTAAATATTTTGACAATCAATATTTGTAGTTATGTACACGACGACTTTTGACAACTGATGCAAGTAGTATACTTAAACAGTGTATGGTTTGAGTTTATTATTTTTTATACCTTCGTGAAATATTTTTATTTAAAAAATGTTTACATAAAAATTAAGATTGTAAAGAGAGCGGATAGCAAAACTTTTTATTAGTTTTTTTTTATTATTGTGATTTATGTATTTATAAAAGTGTAACGAGTGATTTCTAATGAAACCCCAATAGTATAATTTATTTTGATCTTGTATATAAGCATGGTATTTGGAAAATCAAAATTTAAATTACGGGTTTCTATATTGACCAGTCAATTACATCAGTAATTAATTAAGGTATTCATATTTTCGAATAAAATATTTATCAATAAAAGTTATTTGAAATTCTAAATAAAAATCCTTTAATGCACTTCAATACTCAAAATTACAATGATTTTACATTAAACTAAAAGCAAAATTCCCCAGAAAATAAAGTAATTTTTATTTTTCCCATCAGAATAATTAAAACATAATATGCAGAGCAAATCAATGGAATGATTATTATCAGGCGTAATTAAAGGTGCTTACATATGTAAATATAAGGTCAATTTGTAATTATATACCATAGTATACTGTTAATTATAAGCCAAAGAACCAAACTTATTTGCATAAATTACACATGTATATTTAAAAATTAATACGGTGTCTTTTACATTAATGCAAACAGATAACTTGTAAGTATGAGAGTCATTTTAAAAGAACTAAAGCTTATTTTTCTCTGAAATTTACCGAATACAAAATTATGTGAAATTTATATTCAGCATTTAATCCTCATCTGTCTTTTGATACACAATTAATGTACTTATACATATAAAAGTACTTTATATTAAAAAAAGTAAATACACTGAAGTTAATTTTAAATTTTAAAACTATATATGGATGTTTATAATTTTTCTGACTAATATAGGTAATACTAGCTTTCAATATACTAGAGGGGACTTAATAATGAAGGTAGGAAAAAATTAATTATAAGATATTTTTAAATATTCACAAATGTTATAAAGTTAAAAAGTTATATATTTTTGTTTTCTATACTATTATTAGCAAAACTGTTATACTGACATAATTACTTATATTATACTTTTAAAAACTTTAACTTATAATATCTTGTATGGTCTTGTATGGTATCAATTAGTATATTGTTTATATACGAACGTATATATCTGTCCGTCCGTGGAACGTATATCTGCCTATACCTTCCCAGCAATAATTCAATAACTAATTAAATTCAGTTTCACAAATGTTCAAATTTTCACATATGATTTATCATAGTAAATTTCAGAATCTTTTTTGAATTGAATGAAGTCGTGGCAGTAGTTTATGGTAGCTGCCATACAATTTCAAAAGTTATTTGATCATATATAATAAAAATTATCGAAACATAATTGCGTGTAAAATATGGCTCATGCAATTACCATACGTACTAAAAATTATTCTTTCGTACAGTTTTCTTTCGTATTAAAGAGATTTATTTTAATTCATATACTTTAAATTGGCCATTTTATATTTAAAAATTCTTAAATTAAATTTATGAGAACAGACTTCGTAAGTTTAATATAAATCAAAATTCAACAAATTTGATCCTTGTAACAGGGTTTTTATTTTCGAAATTAATCGAAAAATACACAGTGTTGTCTGGTTGTTGACAAAATTATTTTTTTTTTGTATAATGTAGATACACTTTCAATTTAAGCTTTAATAAAATAACAAAATCGTTATAAATGTACTATTGCTTGAGTATGTTAATGAAACTGCAAGTGTACTGTATATATACATAAACGCATTATATAAAATTTAATATTAGTGGAAAATTCAAAATAAAAAAATAACTTTATAATGCACATATCCTATGATATTATGAACTATTATAAATTGTTAACAATTTTTCATAATTTTCATTTTAAAATTGAGATTTTCTAAATTTCAAAATAATAACCTATACATACATATACAGGATGTCTGAAAAGTTCCCGTTCTTTTTTTTAAATATTTTTACAGCTTAGAACTGCTGAGCATGGATTAAAAAATCAACATTGTTAACTGTTCAGAGACGTTCATTAGAGTAGTAATAACAATATTTATTAAAAAATTTCCAATAAATGCTCAAAATTAGCTCCATTTGCAATAATACATGCACGGAAACACTTTGAAAAAATTGTTGACAATAGTCGCGCATTGTTCGATGATAATTTAATCATATAGTGACAGGACGGTCCGCTACGAGGATGCTCCGACGTGCTCCCCATCTCCTGGTAACGTTTTATGGCATCATAGACAATCATTTTTTTGTAACCAGTCGTCTTAAAAATCTCAACTGTCTTCATACCTGACCTGTGTAATTTTATAATAGCAATGCGCTTGTTATCGTGATTTATTTCTGGGCTAACAAAAAATAAAGACACAGTTAACAGGTACTACTTGGAGTAAAATTGCACGATTATCCAAGATAAATTCATTTCAGCTCTCAGATTATAATATTCATTGTATTCAGTATGTTTTTATAATTCACATATTCATAGTACAAAACGATTGCACTTGTGCACTTGATTATTCTTAAATTCTTATTTATTTTTGGATTATATTTTACTATACATATGTAGATAGTAAGAACCATGAATTTATATTTTATGAAAATATCATTAATATATGTATATGAATCATCTATAAACTAAACTTAGTAAAGGTCGATTATAATCATCTTTAACTAAATTTTTTCATAATTTTGTTTTTCTTCTTTTAAACTTTCTTATATGATTTGACATTTAATCCATTTTTATAGTATGACATTTTTGCATCACAAAACTTGTATAGATGCATACATATATACTTACTTATAAGAGTGTTATACTCCTTCTCATCCACGAGCACTCATTCTCATGTCTACTAAAATATTTTTTATTGTATATTTTATGATTTTTTTTTTTTTTATAAACTTTGAAATTGTTATAATAAATATTAAAGAAATACCATACTATACTAAAAAAAAAAAAATGAAAATAAAACTTTAAAATCCTTTTTACATGAGAATTCTTTGTACCATAAAATCACTAGCATATATACACATATATACCGTTTACTTCCTCTTCTTATATGAGTTTTATCGTTAATAATAAAAAGCGTAAAATTAAAAAAAAAAATTGTATATAAAATCTCATCAAAAGTATACACCATCATAATAAAGGATCATAAAAATGTGTAGTAGAAACTATCATAGAGAGCATTAGTATAGCATCATCGTTGTTGCATGATACATTTAATAAAAATCAAAATCAAAAATGGAAAAAAAAACACAAGAAAAATTTCTATTGAAATTTCTAAAGCGTTACAATTTATCCTTGAAAACCTTTCTTTTCAATCCCGTTTTTTCACTCTAAAATAATATTATAAAAAAAAAAAATTTTAATAAATACTATGTGCATATATTATTGCATAATAAAATTATTGTTAGTGCTTTTAAAAATAACACTGTTGCATTTTTTTTTTTATTACTTTCAGAACTGCATCCTAAAACTTGATTATTTAATATTATGGACGTAATTTTCTCGATTTTGAATTTAAAATTAAAATTTTTTTAAAATGATGTATAATGAACGTTTAATGTTAGTATAATGGAATACTCATGGGGTACCAGCTCATGGGTATTTCCACATTTCTTAAAAGCAGCTTTTGTGACCGAGTTATAACTTTATATCTGTTATATAATTATAAAAAAGCAGAACAAACAGACTATTAAACACAAAAGAAAACTGTATGTATGAAGGCTATATAGAAATGATGAGACAAAAATTGGGAAATTTCTATAAAAATATCAATAAATATATGATCTTAAGAAAGATTTTTTAAAAATTGAATTGAATCTTAATAATTGAAGTGATCAAATATTGAAACCTCCATAGAATTTTTTAAAAAGCCGATATATTTAAAATCAAATATTGTAATCAAGTACTTTTACAAATCCGAAAATAATCGCAAGAGCTTCATTTTCCTAAAAAAAAAAAATATTACACGAGAAAACTCACATAATTTATAATCTATATAAAAGAAAATAAATTATGAACATTAGACAATCAGATAATTTTTTATTAAAAATTTAGTTTACATAACATACCATTATAACTTCTCTTTGTATAACCCGAGAAAATAAAATTAAAGAGCATATTATACAGTGTTATATAACAGGAAATTATTGAAATTTGTGAAAGCTTACTTACATAATGATAAAAATTCATGAATATAGCTCATACGTGTTCAAATAAAATAAAGTTTCTCTTTCACATAATTTTAACATTATAAATAACTTAAACGATTCCATTTTATACAAGATTAAGTTCTATAATTAATACAAATTGTAAAACTTTTGAAATTTCGAATGTTCCTGATTAAATTTTTAAAAATATTAAAATGTTTTTTGTTTTTTTGGATAGGGTTTATTTTATTAAGTGATTATCTTATTGCAACACTCTATATTAAATTTTATTAAGTAAAAAAATATTTGGCGTTATCACGACTCCTACATATAGTCCCATTAAATTGATATTAAATCATGATGATTTTGTTTTTGGCTAAAATACTAATTATATATGAACTAGTATTTTAAGTAAGAAATA